TTTATACCATTTTTACAATAATGCAGTAGTCTGCATAACAGTAAATCTATTTTTTGTGTGAATACAAAATCAAAACAGAAAGCAAGAGTAATATAAGAGGGGCCTGGAGACATGACTGATGAACAGAGGATATGTTATTTTAGTGCCAAGAATATCTGCATTGTTTATTCTTGACCCTATTTTGAAATTGGCATCTTCTTTAATTTGCGTAAAATTGGCCAAATTGCCAATTTCTGACCACTTTATTGGGCAGTTGAAATCGGTAAATAGGCAGTTTCTTGTACTCAATTGATAGAAAAATGGAGTTCTAAAGAAATAGCTATGAGTTTGGTCGACTGGAACAATGGAATTGGCCGAAAATAGGGCTCAAAGTCGACGAAATCGCCAATGCGTATATATTGCCAAGATCGCTAACTTTGCGGGAGCGTAATTCGGTAAGTTTTCAATCAAATTTCGTACTTTTGGTGTCATTACCATCGGGAAAAGATTCTCTATCATTTCATAAGATTTTTTTTTTTTTTTTCCCAAAAATTTTTCGACACCAGGATTTGGGGGTTGCAACAGTCAAAGGGTTAAAACAGTATCAAATTATTATAATCAAAAAAAGAAGCATCAAAGATGGTTGACACAAACCCACTACCACTATAGTATGCTCCTCACTTAATGATAAATTTGTTTAGTGACGTGGTCTTAGAATGGAACTCCATCGTTAAGTGAGGAGAGGCTGTACAATATTTTTGAGTTATATACAGTACGTATATGTAACTGACCCCTCAACGAGGGTACTTTGATGCTGGTGGGGGCACTTAATCCAGGAAATTGAATGTCTCCTCTCTTTCCATGCATCAACCCTGATTGCCTCTCATTACCCCAGGTACTGTATGACCTCTGTGGGTTTAGAGCTTATCCTATTTTTAATAATAATAATAATCTCCATGAATGAGTGGAGAAGCATCCTTCCTCCGTAAGCCATGCGTGTCGTAAGAGGCAACTAAAATGCCAGGAGCAAGGGGCTAGTAACCCCTTCTCCTGTATAGATTACTGAATGTGAAAAGAAGAAAAACTTTTGTTTCTTCTGTTTTGGGTCATGCTGCCTTGGTGGGAGATGACCAGTGTGTTAAAAATGTCGTAACGAAACCTACATACATACTGTATGAAATTACAGTGTAATTGTCTATTACTGTCTTCATTACTTGCCTTAGGACTAAATGTTGCATGCTTGTGTATGAAGCCAGACACAGATAAATAGATTAAAATTAAACTTTTGCGGATTCCCTCTCACATAGGCCTGCAGGAGCATGGTAGTCAGTGACTTGGCTCAGCAGTAAACAAAACAGAATGCTGAATATAATTTTGGTTTCTCAAAGAGAAGCTTCAAAACCATTGTTAGAGAAGAACTGGTGAATGAATTTGAAGAACAGAATAAACAGGAACTAGCAGTTCCATTTCCCATTATAATAAAATGTCTGAAGTAAAACATTTCTAGAGAAAGCTACAAGATCAGCAGATTACAAGATGCTGTCACTGCTGGACTAAGGCTGAACTGTAAGCATCCATTCCCTCAAGGTTTCTTGAGGTTGGTAAAGGGCTCTTGGTTGGAGGAATTGGACGTGTCCTTCTCTTTCTTGGATTGAGCCTGATTGCTTCAAATTCAGCAAGACCTGTATGATCTCTTTGGGTTTAGTGCTTCTCCTTAAATATAACATATCTGACAGTTCAATTTGTATGGAGATGTCAACCACATATGTAGTATGTGGACAGAAACTAGGTCATACACAGACATTATATTTCAGAATGTGAACAAGTTTTTTTTTTATTTATTAACACATCAGCCGTTTCCCACCAAGGCAGGGTGGCCCGAAAAAGAAAAACTTTCATCATCACTCATTCCATCACTGTCTTGCCAGAGGCATGCTTACACTACAGTTGTAGAACTGCAACATTAATACCCCTTGTTCAGAGTGCCAGCACTGTACTTCCCATCTCTCGTAATTAAGTCCAGCCTGACTCACGAAATCGTAATGACACGATTGCAAACAAACCATACCACGGACGGGGATAGAACCAGCCTGCTGGTTTCCCTGACTCCCTTCATGTTACCTTGCTTACATTCCAACAGCATGTCAGGTCCTAAAAACCATTTGTCTCTATTCACTCCTATCTAACACACTCACACACGCTTGCTGGAAGTCCGAGCCCCACGCACACAAAGCTTCCTTTACCCCCTCCCTCCAACCTTTCCTAGACCGACCCCTACCCTGCCTTCCCTCCACTACAGATTTATACACTCTCGAAGTCATTCTATTTCGTTCCATCCTCTCTACATGTCCAAACCCTCTCAATAACCCCTCCTCAGCCCTCTGGATAATAGTTTTGGTAATCCCACACCTCCTCCTAATCTCCAAACTAGGGATTCTCTCCATTATATTCACACCACACATTGCCGTCAGACATGACATTGCCACTGCCTCCAGCCTTCTTGTTGCAACATTCACAACCCATGCCTCACACCCATACAAGAGCGTTGGTATAACTATACTCTCATACATCCCCTCTGCTTTCATGGACAAAGTTCTTTGTCTCCACAGACTCCTCAGTGCACCACTCACCTTTTTCCCCTCATTAATTCTATGATTCACCTCATCCTTCATAGACCCATCTGCTGACACATCCACTCCCAAATATCTGAACACATTCACAACCTCCATACCCTCTCCCTCCAATCTCATGTCCAATCTTCTGTTAACTAATTTTTTTTTGTTATCCTCATCACCTTACTCTTTTCTATATTCACTTTTAATTTCCTTCTTTTGCATACCCTACCAAACTTATCAACCAACCTCTGCAGCTTCTCTTCAGAATCCCCCAAAAGCACAGTGTCATCAGCAAAGAGCAACTGTGACAACTCCCACTTTGTTAGATTCTTTATCTTTTAACCCCACACCTCTTGCCACCACCCGAGCATTCACTTCTCTTAGAACTCCATCTATAAATATATTGAACAACCATGGTGACATGACACATTCCTGTCTAAGGCCTACTTTCACTGGGAAATAATCTCCCTCTTGCGTACATACTCTAACCTGAGCCTCACTATCCTCGTAAAAACTTTTCACCGCTTTCAGTAACCTACCTCCTATTTCATACATTTGCAACATCTGCCACATTGCCCCCCTATCCACCCTATCATATGCCCTGTCATATGCCTTTTCCTTTATACAAAGGAACTATGAATGCTCTCTGCCAATCCCTAGGTACTTTACTCTCATACATTTATTAAATAAAAACACTAACCACTCCAAAACTATATCCCCACCTGCCATTAACATTTCTATCTTTATCTCATCAATCCCAGCTGCTTTACCCCCTTTCATTCTATTCACTGCCCCATGCACCTCCCCCACACTCAACTGGTTCTTCCTCACTCCTATAAGATGTTATTTCTCCTTGCCATATACACGAAATCACAGTTTCCCTATCTTCATCAACATTTAACTATTCCTCAAAATATTCCCTCCATCTTCCCGATACCTCTAACTCTCCATTTAATAACTCTCCTCTCCTATTTTTAACTAACAAATCCTTTCTTTCCCTAGGCTTTCTCAACTTATTAATCTCACTCCAAAACTTTTTCTTATTTTCAACAAAAATTGTTGATAACATCTCACCCACCCTCTCATTCGCTCTCTTTTTACATTGCTTCACCACTCTCTTAACCCTTAAACGGTCCAAACGTATATACAGTATACGTTCTCTTGCGTAGCGCCCCAAACGTACATATACGTTTCATTTGTCATTTATTCAACATTGGCACGATAGACCTGAGTCACCTAGACATGAGAGAATGGGTGTGTGCACTCAGTGTGTGCCATATGAAAAAAAAATTGGGGATGCCTGGGTACCACATGCTCTTTTTTCCTATAAAAAAAAACGATTGTTTTTTCTCAAAATATTCAGGGGCACTGCAAAGGTGAATGTATATATACGTTTGGACCGTTTAAGGGTTAATCTCTCTTTTTCTCTCCATATACTCCTCCCTCCTGCATCACTTTTACTTTGTACAAACCTCTCATATGCTAACTTTTTCTCTCTTACTACTTTACATCATCAATCCACCAGTCGCTCTTCTTCTCTCCTGCACCCACTTTCCTATAACCACAAACTTCTGCTGAACACTCTAACACTATATTCTTAAACTTATCCCATACATCTTCTACCCCATTGCCTATACTCTCAGTAGCCCATCTGTCTTCCAACAGTTGTGTATATCTTACCCTAACTGCCTCCTCCTTTAGTTTATAAAGCCTCACTTTTCTCTTACTTGCTGTTTCCATTCTCTTTGTATCCCATCTACCTTTTACTCTCACTGTAGCTACAACTAAAAGGTGATCTGATATATCTGTGGCCCCTCTATAAACATGTAAATCCTGAAGTCTACCCAACAGTCTTGTATCTATCTATATATAGTCCAACAAATTACTGTCATTTCACCTTACATCATATCTTGTATATTTATTTATCCTCTTTTTCTTAAAATGTGTGTTACCTATAACCAAACCCCTTTCTATACAAAGTTCAATCAAATGCTCCCTGTTATCATTTACACCTGGCACCTCAAACTTACCTACCACACCCTCTCTAAATGCTTCTACTTTAGCATTTAGGTCCCCTACCACAAGTATTACAAATTACAGGTTTGGTACTTAAAATTTGATTATATTATTATTATTGCAATTAAAAATTTATATTTCAATTCTTCAAAATTTTTACACAAGCATTAAATTTGTACATATTATTATTATTTGTTGTAATGGTATTAGTAGTAATGTACAGTATTATGCATTAAATATAGCATGTGTCATCACAGGTATCAATAGCTTGCCAGCTTGCCGGATGCTCACCCTGTAAGCCATGTGCAGTCTCTGTAGTTAGAAATTTAGTGCAATATACTATATAGTTCATAGGAAAGTAAGTAATAACCATACTCTTTCACAAAGCAGAATGTGGTCAAGAGCAGTGCTGTTGATCGCCTCACTGATACCAAGAAGTTCACTGGCTCTCACAAGCTGCGATTTGACTCAGCCGGCCGGGGTAAGGGTATATCTGGCCGCAAGGATACTCCTGATACTTCTGGTTATGTGGCTGGCTACAAAAATAAAAACACCTATGACAAGAGCCATTAGAAAATTTATGATAACTGTGTCAAAACTTAATGAGAAAGACTCCTAAATATCTTATGACCAGAAATCATAAAAGCCCTCAACAAGATTCATTTATATCTGTAATGTTACACCAGCCACCGGTTGTCTCTAATTACTAGTTGTCATTTATATATTTTGCAACATACTGTAACTCTTGATACGATGTAAACACACACGAGTTTTTTTTTTTTTATATATATTACTGAATGTACCCTATGTGCATCCTGCCTTGTATGCTCCATACAATGTTTTGGGCTACAAGACTGCGTAGTGGCTGTAGCCTCAATAAATTCTTGCATATTTAAAAGCTAATTGGTAATACTGTGTTACATTGTAAGTGGAATAATTTCCAGAAGCAATTATACTTGCTGTAAATTATTAACTTACATAACTTAAAGTTTTTCAGCATTTCAAATTACAGTAGAACATTGATTAACACAGTTACATTCCTGAAAATAGCATGTAAATAAAAAATTGTGTACAATGAACTTGAGAATTTGTAGGAAAAATAGCTGGAGGATGTGAAGCATTATATATAATACAATACTTTTAGCTACAAAGATTACATATCTAATATTTCTTACCTTAAATTCTGGTTGCTGGTGTATGTTGTTGATTTTGAAAGGAGTGAAGAGGGATGGTGTGGCTGTACTGGGCTGTGATCATTGACTAGGATTGTTGCACTGATATCAATGCAGTGTTTTCATTAAGTGATGGTTGTATTGGAGTACTGAGGTATTGTTTAATGCATCTTTGGTCTTTTTACCCTGCAGTACTTTATGTACCTGACAGTAAGACATCGTTAGCTGCTCCAGACCCCCACTTTAGAACAGTGCTTCTCGATGTGTTCAGGTCTTGTTCAGTGAAAGTCTACTAATTTAGTAACAACATGGAACTACTTGTGTAACTGCTACAATGTTAACTGTTTTTCTGTGGGTTCTTCATTTTTTATCTGCCTCCTTTATATCTGGGCATTGAACTTTGCCAAAATTTCTTCTGGACTTTTCTTTCTCATCATCTAAAAACTCATTCACATCCTCTTCCTCCTTATCTTCAGAGCCCTCACCCGGCAATCTCCTTGCCAGCTAAACAATTTCCTGGACCTTGCTCTCAGCTGAGAAAAAGCCTGTGAAATTGTTCTCCACATTTGGCCATAATTTTCCCCATTCTGCATTTAATGTTGATTTGGGGACTTCATTCCATGCACTTATGATGTAATTGATGACATCTGCAAAGTTGAATTTACACCAGAAGTCTGGAACTCCAAGCTCTGAGTCATCATCCATTGCTTCAGTGAGTTTCAGCATCACTTTTTGTGTATAGTCCTCAATCCAGTGGTTGTATTAAAGATGTTGCATTTGGTGGTAAAAACTTTTACATGTGGATGCAGCTCTTCCAAGAGTTTTGGATAAGTACGGGAATCAAGAATGAAGAAAACTTTGAATGCAAGATTCTTGCTGCACAAGTAAAAAATGACTTCTGGAACAAAATGATGCTTAAAACCATCAATAAAGTTTGACCTCCAAATAACTGGCAATGCAGCTTTGTCTAAACATTTCAAAACACCAAGAGTCTTGGGGCTGTAAATAAGCATGGGCTTACACTTAAAACCTCTTGATGCACATTACCACTGCATTCTCCTCTTGCTGGATGACGTAAGTTCTCGAAGTATCAGCATTAAACACTTCTTGTGGCTCACAGCCACCCTCAGATTTCTTCTGGTTCAGTAGGGAAATTTCTTGCAGCCATGTGATCAGTAGAAACACCAGAAAATGTAATATTTTGCAACTAATTGTGCAATTTGATTATGGAGAACCAGCTGGTACTAGAGCACTCTGGTTAAGGACTTCCTTCATCACACATTTTTATGGTACTCTAATGCTTTTTTCCTTTATCTTTATGATGGCTTAGCGCTTCTTTTTGATAATAATAATTTATCTTGATGAAAAGTGATGTACTATTCTTGGATTTCTGTTCAATCCACTTTCAATAATTTCTCCATCTTTTTCAGTTGTGTTATTACAATCAAAACTAAGCGCTAAACCCACCAGGGTCATACAGCACTGCAGAATTGGATGTGCTAATGATGAAATATGAGATCAGAGACTAGTGAGGGTTAGGATTATGCAAGAGGCAGAGTTAGTTAGGGTAATCAGTGTAATAAATCAAGCAGTTGCTGATAAAATGTTAAAAAAGGAGTCTATGTCAAAGGTGGGGCTTTCAGATGCTGTGACCTATGCACCATTTGTTTCAGAAAGTCACAACCTGGGTTATTTACTGGACAAGCTAAGGATCTTCAACTTATTCTTTTTAATTGTGGAAATTGATGCCGTGTTCAGACCATAGGCTTGCGCTGTCTCCATCATATACACCACTTTGAAGCTTATTTAAGATATTGATTTTCTTCAAAACCCCAAGACTTACGCTTTTATGGTTCTTTGCACTTCCAGCATCACTCATTTCTCTTGGGTGCCATGTTACTATCCAGAGATGGAATGAGATAAGGAAAAGATCAAAAATTAATTCACTAACACAGGCTGAGTATAGTATGAGACATGTATACAGGAACAACTGATGTGTGCATTGTGACTAAGCCTCTCCCTGTAGGCTTGCTGCAAGACAGAGGGGTAGAGATCCCACAGCATGCCATATTTTCTACTAAATTTACTGCGCTAAATGATACATATGGATGCTCAATGAGATAAAAAAAAAAATGGGTGGGGGGGGGGTGTTAATAAATCACGTGTTAATTGATGGTCTACTGCACATTATATTTTACTTATACCTAAAAATACAATTTTGTTTGGTACTGGGTTAATTTCAGTATATCAGATATATGCTGTTTACATTTCAGATCTGTAGCACATCATGACTTGTTAACAAACAAAGAATATTCTGTATATTTTTCAGTCTCAGGAGAAATTAACAGTAACGCATTTCTGAATACAGTACAGTACTGTACTTTTATTATTATACCGGGTATCAGGGTGTGACGGGTACAAAATCTCCATATATGTTATGTTTAGCTCTAAATTAGGTAAGTGTTAAAAGTCTTTAATATCTTGAGGCTGCTTTAGAGCAAGGGTAATACTGTAATAAGCTCCATGTGTCACCGAGCTGCAGAATAGTGACATATTAGCTCCAGTTGGTATTGTGAGTGTGCACTAATAATTTCACTCTTAAGATGATGAGTGTGCTCTGACTAGTAGTTGTTTGGAATTTCAAATAAAAATTTTCATTTCAAGGTGCCTAAATGTAATTTTTCCATGAAGATTTTCATAAGCATTAGTTTAGTTTGTGGATATGCTGTTATTTCATAGGACATACTGTACTTAATGCTGTTAAACTAGCATGTTGTACCAAATATTGTATCTAACAGTATCTGGCAATGCAGTATAGTCATTCAAAATTCCACATAGTACTCCACATAATATGTGGAGTACTATGTTCACATCTTTCCCACACACATGAAAGAAAATCTTAGCTTTAATACTGTAAAGGAAATTCTTATTCTCTCCTTTATCAACCCACAAGCTTATGTGTATGTGTACATGTGTGGATACTGCATTGTTATTTGGAGACTGTTATTAAAAAGTGAGAAGTGTCAGGTAATCCAAATTTTTGGACTATTTAAGATTCTAGTGTTATAGTTCTATTATTCATTTAAGTGTATTACTTAAAAGAACTTGAAAGTTAACACAATTTCACTAAATATTTTTTCTGCCTTTGTCACATTTATGTTTGAGAACTATTTAAAGAATGTTTTACTTCAGCAATTCCTGTATACATGACACCACATTATACTTGTCAGAAAATATCAGTACTGTAATTCAGTAATGTATTCAATGAGAAGTGACTGATACCTACTTGTAAGACACTTTTCACAACCTGATGCTTCATTTCCACTTTACAAGCTACTCATGTCAGATACTGACCACCACAAACTAAAGTACAAGAACACCTACTAGTTACCCATCCCTTGACATAGCACTGGGTCAGACATGTCAACCACTTGTGAACATCGTATTTTACCTTAGAAGCCACAATGCTTTAGCATCACACCTGAGTTTTAATTTACTGTATAACTTTTCTTTTTATGAAATGCTTTTCTTGTATTAGGCTGTTGAACATTTTAGGTTACAGGAGAATTTCGGCATGGTGAACTGACAGTTATGTATCCCAAATTTACAAGGCCATATAGATTGTAAAATATAGCCTGCTGAAGCTAATATATGACACCTGCGAATGGGTAACTTGCCCATTGTTATGATGACTAACAGCCTTTGCTGCATTTTACTTAATTTAAATGGTCTTATTTAGATTCCATGGCATGTGCCATGTACATCAAGACAAGTTAATAGAGGAAAAAACTGCTTACTTTATTAGATAAAAGTGAGCATTCACTATTTATTGGATGAACTGATAACACTGACATTCAAAGAGAAAAATAATTTACACACATGAAAATATTTGTTTAGGATAAATAGCAGACCAGAACATATATACAATATTATAGGAGAATGCTATATTAGTCTAACAATGGCACAAATAAGTCTGACAGCCACAGCTGGGATAGCCTCACACACCATTATTACACTATTCCGGCATGTTCTCAACCTCTGGCTCTATTTCAGCATCCCGTGTTCTCCTGTTGTAGTTTACTAGACGTGTTATGGCTTTAATTTACAATGAATAGCAAACCACACAGATTGTGATATATATTTGATCTCATGACTTTTGCTGCATTTGACATTAAAGTTCTAATATAATATGTAGATGTATGTCATCTATTGAGCCCAGTGTTGGTCAGCTATAGTGTGGTAGCTTTTGATTTCCCAGGGCAGAGGGTTGTCAAAATATTTTTACTTGCTGTGCTAATTACAGTATTGAGTGTGGTAGAGATGTAGGTTGGCGTGATCACCACCACAACCATTATGTATGATATTTTTGCACTTGGTAATCACTGCCAGCTGTTGTCACTCAAGTCCTTTGTTTATTCATGTAATATTTTTCATTTTAAACGAGTTTAAAATTCTGATTACATGAATATATGAATGTAGCTAACAACGGACATATAATAAAAAATTTAATCCTGCTAGTTTATTTTTAATCCATTTTCTCAAATAAATCATATTTAACCCTTTCAGGGTCACCAGGCCCTCTCCCAGACTTGTTCTCAGGGTCACCAAATTTAAAAAAAAAAAAAAATTTTCTAATGAAAAGATAGAGAATATTTTCCCGATCATAATGACACCAAAAGTATGAAATTTGATGGAAAACTTACAGAATTATGCTCTCGCGAAGTTAGCGGTCTTGACGATGTTTACGCATCGGCAATTTTGCCCACTTTGAGCCCTATTTTCGGCCAATTCCAGTATACTAGTTGACGAAGATCATAACTATTTTGCTACAACTCCATTTTTTCTATCGAATGAGTACAAGAAACCACCCATTTACTGATTTCAACTATCCAATAAAGTGGTCAGAATTTAGCAATTTTGCTAATTTCACACAAATTTCAAAAGATGCCAATTTCTAAATAGGGCCCAGAATAAACAAGACAGACATTCCTGGCACTAAAATAACACTTCCTCTGTTCATTAGTCATGTCCCCACACCCCTCTTACATTCTTTTGCTTTCCACTTTGAATTTTTATTCTCACAAAAAATAGAAGATTTACTGTTATGCAGACTACTGCATTAGTGTAGAAATGGTATAAATAATATCAGTGCACTCGTGAAAGAATATTAGACTCACCAGTTGACGTGTATTGGACGCGTAGCATAACTTGTTTACTTTTGAACTTCGGCAAAAATCGAAGATTTCTGCTACTTTGAGCTCAATTTCAAAAATCAATTTCAAAACCAATCAAAGTTGTCTCAATTTCTGTAATATATCTTCCATTCTATAAAATGAGACCAGGAAAACTAGAATACCATCATAAATACCATACGAAAATACAGTGCAAAGTCGCTGTTTTAAACCAAAACACTTTTTTTTTTCTCATTACGCACTGTGCTGCAGGATTTTTTTTTTTTTTTTTATACTGCGCACACTGACCACATAGACCCATTCTTTCATATATAGGCCTACCAGCTTTCTCTCACTAGATTTGAGGGCGCTAGAATTTAGGTGTACTAGTACGTCAAAAACCCTGGTGCGTAAGCCGCACTAGTACGTCGGAAACTCTGAAAAGGTTAATCCTTTCAGGGTCGAGACCCCCAATCCTGGACTCGTTCTCAGGGTCGAAAAATTAAAAAAAAAAAAAATTATGTTTTCTTATGGAATGATGGAGAATCTTTTCCCGATGGTAATGACATCAAAAGTAAGAAATTTGATGGAAAACTTATGAAATTACACTCTCGCGAAGTTAGTGATATTTATGCATTGGCGATTTTGCCCACTTTGAACCCTATTTTCGGCCATTTCCATTGTTCCAACTGACTAAAATCATAGCTATTTCGCTAGAACTCCATTTGTTCAATTGACTGAGTACCAGAATCTGCCGATTTACCGATTTCAGCTAGCCAATAAAGTGGTCAGAAATTGGCAATTTGGCAAATTTCACACAAATTTCATAAGAGGGTCTAGAATAAACAAGACAGACATTTTCTCTTTTCATTAGTCACATCTCCAGGCCCCTCTTATATTACTCCTCCTGCTGTATAGTCCTTGTGGCTTAGCGCTTCTTTTTGATTATCAATAAAAATAGATTTACTGTTATGAAGACTACTGCATTATTGTAAAAATGGTATAAATAATATCAGCGCACTTATGAAAGAATATCAGACTCACCAGCTGACGTGTATTGGACACATGGCATGATTTGTTTACTCTTGAACATTGGCAAAAATCAAACATTTCCGCTACTTTGAGCTCAATTTCAAGGTACTTTTCATCGTGAAACCAATCAAAATCATCTTTATTTCTGTAATATATCTTCCACTCCATCAAATATCAAGAAAAATAGAATATAACCATGAAAACCATACGAAAATACTACACTGCAAAATCGCTGTTGTAATCCAAAAACAAGGATTTTTTTTTTCTCATTATGCACTGCGTGCAGATGAATTTTTTTTATACTGCACACACAGACCCATTCTTTCATATGTAGGTCTACCAGCTTTCTTCCACTCGATTTGAAGGCGCTAGAATTTTGGCATATAAGTATGGCACCTACTCTGGCTCTCAAGCCATACATGTACAGCACCAACTCTGAAAAGGTTAATATGTACACTCTCATTGGAAAATCTTAAGGTCATACGACCAAGAAACACATGAAGCTGGGTAATGGTTTGGTTGGGTTTAGTACTTAGTTTTGATTGTAATAATACTAATAACAATGGTTTGGCTAAACTTTTCATGCTCATGAATTATGATTATATTAGATCTTCATTAGGATGAAAGCTGTTTGGGTAACTATATACTGTATGTGTCCCAAATTATTATTTTACAAGGGAACAGATCATTATCAACCTTATACATATTACATCAGTGAAAACCTAAATTAAATATACAAATCTATGGAAAAATATTTATTAATAATAGAACTGTTATAGGTAGTAGGTTGGGAGAGAGCAATGCCCAGGGAGGTACTACTGTCCTGCCAAGTGAGTGTAAAATGGAAGCCTGTAATTGTTGTACATGGTAGGATTGCTGGTGTATTTTTTCTGTTTCATAAACATACAAGATTTCAGGTACATCTTGCTTCTACTTACACTTAAGTCACATTACACATGCATGTACAAGCATATATATATACACACACCCCTCTGGCTTTTCGTCCATGGGAAAGTGGAACAGAATTCTTCCTCCGTAAGCCATGAGTGTTGTAAGAGGCGACTAAAATGCCAGAAGCAAGGAACTAGTAACCCCTTCTGTATACATTACTAAATTTAAAAAGAGGAAACTTTAGTTTTTCATTTTAGGTCACCCTACCTTGGTAGGATATGGCCTGGTCATTGAAAAAAAATAACCGTGTATCTTGTATTACATGCCAGATAGTCAGCATTACAAAAAAAAAAAAAATATGTATAAAACAATTATGCATTATACTATATTTGAACACAAAGTACTGCACCATTCATGAAATGTAACTTTAGTTACAGCTATTCTGTATTTATAATTCAATTAAAGCATACTCAGGAAAATGCTTTTGTTTTGTAAGAGAATATCAAATGCAGAATACTACAGCAAACTCAAGTTTCCAGTTTGATCATTTACGTTTTAAATTATAATACAGTACCGTTATCAGAAGCCAACACTTCAGTTGAATTTATTTATTTTTTTGTTTTAACAAGTCAGCCATTTCCCACTGAGGCAGGGTGACACAAAAGGAAAGAAAAAACTTTCATCATCATTCAACACTTTCACCATCACTCATACATACATAATCACTGTCTTTGCAAAGGCGCTCAGACACAACAGTTTAGACGTCCTTCCAAACTGCCAATATCCTAAACCCCTCCTTTAAAGTGCAGGCATTGTACTTCCCATTTCCAGGACTCAAGTCTGGTTAACAGGTTTCTCTGAATCTCTTCACAAAATATTACCCTGCTCACACTCCAACAGTCTTTTGCCCCAAAAACCATTCGCTCCATTCACCCCTTTTTAAACTCCAACATGTTTGCGGAAGTCCAAGCCCCTTCCCCTACAAAACTTCCTTGCCCCCTCCCCCAAACCCCTTTTCGGGGACGCCCCCTACCCCCCCTTCCTTCCCCCAACAGATTTATACGCTCTCCAAAACCACCCAAAGCCCTCTTCAGCCCTCTACTAATAGTTTTAGTAACCCACACCTCCTAATTTCCGCACTACGAATTCTCTGCAAATATTTACCACACATTGCCCTTGGATAAGACATCCCCCCACCCCTCCCCCCTCCTCCTCGCTAAAAAGCATTTACCCCATGCTTACACCCAATAAGAATGTTGGTACCACTATGCCTTGTACTTAACTTCTTGCTCCAATACCCAAGCACTATCACCTTTTTTCCCTTCATCAATTCTAGGGTTTTTCCCTACCCTTTCATAAACCCACCCTACAAGTAAACTCCCAAATATCTGAAACTTCCTTTTCCATACTCAACCCCCTCATGTGATACCCAAATTTTTTTCTTTATCAAACGTTTGTACCCTCATCACCTTACTTTTTTTATATTCATTTTAAAACTTTCATTTTTAAAACCCCCTTAAAAGGTAGTAGGTTGGTTGACAGCAACCCCCAAGGGGGTATATACCACTCCCAATGAAAAAATGGAAGCCGGTATTTGTTTTACATGACTAGGATTGCTGATGTCTTTTTTTTTTCTGTCTCATAAATCATGAAAGGGTTTTTGGGTATGCTGATACTTCTACTTACAATTAATCACACTACACATGCATGTTGAAATCATTAATGACTTTGTATATACATGTTACAAAAAAGTCTCTGATTGATGCAAGAGACAAACTGTCTGTAATACACTTGCAAGTGTATACTAAATATGTATTCATGTACCTTAATTATATAGTTTTGTACAGAGATTACAGTATCCTGGGCTGGTGGTAACAATGACATATGCCTAAAGTAAATAAACAAATTGCTAATTTTTCTTGAAAGTTTTATCCAGACCCGAAAAAAAAATTTTTTACGGGAAAATTTAGTAAATCCATTCTACAGTACTACTGGAAAGCCTTCCAACAGCCTTCTCGGTTACGCCATTCCAAAATTTTTTTTTTTTTATATTTTTTTTTTTCCTAGGTGTAGGTTGGTAGACAGCAACCCCCGGGAAAGGACTCCCGTCCTCCCAAGTGATGTAAAAAAAACCTGTAAGTGTTTACATGTGGTAGGTTGCTGGGGTCCTTTTTTTTCTTCTCAAAAACATGCAAGGTTTCAGGAGTCTGTATTCTACTTATACTTAGGTCACGCTACACATACATGTAAAAACTATATGTTTACCCCCCCCTCGGGTTTTTTTCCCATTTTTCTTACAGTTCTTGTTCTTGTTTATTTCCTCTTACCCCAGGGGTAAGGGGAAACAGAATTCTTCCCGAAACCATCGTGTTGTGGGAGGGACTAAAATGCTGGGGGCAAGGGCTATAACCTTTCCCTGT